TCCACAGGCTTGCCTGACGGTCCCTGGACTGTATCGGCGGGAAGCAAAGCACTCATGGACATGAGTGAGTCGAAACTCACAAAACCGGCACGCAAGCAAGCGGCAGCCAATCGCTCAACCTCAGCCAGTGCCTTAGTGTCAAAAGAAGAAATGACGGCATCAAAGGAATATCCGGCCACGTGTGGCCCTGTGCCTGAAATCGCAGCAGCCTCAACTGTGCTAGGGCCGCGAGGTGGAACGGCGAGTCACTCGGTTTTGGACTTGCCTTTGCCAGCACCCTTCCAGCTCCGAGCACGGCAGTTGCGGAAGGAGTGACCAACCCGGCGACAGTAAGCGCAGATGTGCACTCCCCGATTGCACCTGGGAGGGTCGCCCTCCGTTTTGTTCTTGCAGCCGCCACAATTGTGGTCCCAACAAATCGGCGTGCCATCCTCGGCCTTCTGGTGAGCATCCTTGAGCTCTGCAGGCATGGTGCGAGCTGCAGACGGGGCCTTGCCGGTGGGAGTGGTAGTGCGCGAAGAAGCTGCGGCCTTCAGCCTGCGTCTGCGCTTGGCGGACCTAGAAAGACCTTCACCGGGCTTATTATGAACTGGCGGCGGGTGATCAACATCGACAGGCTTGACGTCCGGTGCCCGGCCCCAAGTAGCCATGAGGTACATGGTGATTCGAGGGTCGGTTCTCAGTGCATCAAGCGCCACTCCCAGCGGGAAGTCACCGGCAGCTGTGACCTTAAGCGACTTAACTTCGGATGCCATGATCAACCATGCCTCGCGGTCCGCCTGGACGATGCGATTCATGTCAGGTTTATGAAAACCCGAAGGGCAGTCCTTCGTGAGCGCATGCAGCAAGCAATGAACCCACCTCTCATGTTGGGCCCACGACATGACCCTGGCCTGGTCAAGAGCCAGTCCACGTCTCTGCAAGCACCACTGAAGTTTGATCGGAGAGTCAAAGGACGCTGTGTCCTTGGGCTGATCGCTACCCACCTTAAGTGAGTTATCCTCAAGTCGAAAAACGCGGCTTTGGTCCTTGGTTGACAATTGTATCTCGCTCTCGCGACTAGTGCATTTGCCGGGCGAGATCCATGTGACCCCCACGTCCAGCATGTGGCAACACAGGTCCACAAGGGCGTGCGATGGAATCATGTCACGCTCGATGTGCACGCCAACGAGCCGACGCTTTTGGTCCTCAGCCCGTGCCGCCTTCTCTGCCAAAGGCAACTTTCGCGGGGTCTCCGAGGTCTCGCCTTGTACAGATTGCCGCAGCTGGGCGATCACGTACGTACAAGCCTCGAACATGAGCCGCTTAAGCAATGCGATGTCACCAAGGCGCGGCGCGGCACCAAGGATGCGAGTAGCAAAAGCGTCCATCTCCGCCTGCGTGGGGCGGTCCTG